GGATGATTGTTATTACTGTCTATAAATCACATTCAGTACTAACAGATATTTTTAGCTCTCGGAAACATAACCTGGTTTGGTTATGTGATCTCAATGTTGGGCGAAATTCGATAAAAAAACCTTTTTACGCTACCCACGTCCATTAGGGGCTGCGATAATTGTAAAACATATATATATCCTTACAAGCTACTAAAAGTAGTTGTTCTAAATTTTTTTAGATTTAGAAAACCTAACCTCACCGTGCAAAATGTCAAGAAATTCGAGAAAATAGCCTATTTTCTGCCATTTTCATTTATAGTCAGCCATTAGGGGACCATACAGGGTCTGGATAATTGTTATTACTGTCTTTGTATTACATTTGGTACTTACAGTCATTTTCACTNTTAATTAGCAACAATTTAATTTTGACGTATATGACGTATTTTAGAATATTCTTTAAAATCAATTCTACAGAAGGATTTAAGAGTGGCTGTACTAAAAGAAAACACAAAAATTAAAAAAAAAAACTGTTATTTCGATCGATTGTCACTGTTGTGCTAGCAGGGAAGTAGTAGATACGGTCAGGCATGGTCAGACGCGCACTCGTTTACGGGCTTCATGGGTACGTACGTACGTAACTATCGACGGGCTGCTCACTCTTGACTTTTTACCGAGACTTCAAGAGAGCATACAGCTACGATCCTTAATATTCAGCACTTTCATGGGTGTTTCCCTATAATCTCTGTAAAAAAAAAAAAAAAAAAAAATTTGGTCGTTTGCACGGAGCCCGCGCTGGGGGTGAATCCAGAAATCTATAATTCCATGCATCTTTCCTCGAAAAGAGAGAGAAATATTTGCTTTCCTCGTCCACGCGCAGCCCTTCTTTGCCTTTCCTCCCTTTTCGCCCAAACGCAAAATCGTATATGAAAACTCATCGGCACAACATCAACAACGTGCACAATGTATACGAGCACACGCCCATTCAAGTCCTCCGTATACGAATAAGGGACAACAAAAAATTAATAGAGCCATCGAATTCCACGACGTCTCGCTCCAAATACGCGTGTTATGAAAAATCACCTCCTCGTGCATGTACATATATAATACATGTCACGCGGTTAGGCTCCCCCCAGTATAATAGGTTGTTGTACCTTGTACCTAAATAAGTACGTATATACACACGCGATATAATATACTGTACATCGTACCCACACCCACTACTTGGCGAACAGATAGGCGAGCCCTTTAATGTGTATATATATAATATACACAGCTGCAGCGCACACCACGTTCTTTCTTCCGGCCGCTTCGCTCTCAGCTGCGCCCGGTTACACACGTCACGTGCGCGTTCCAGCCACCGCGCAAGCGTCGTGTACATCGGTGCCTTTTTGCGGTCCGTTGCGAAATAAGAGGAGACGAGAGAAGAGGCACACACGCCGCACCGGCTACGAGTCCTGCACGTCATGTATAAATATACACGGTCGGCGGCTCGCGCTACCTGGACTGCGCATGTCGATCGTGGCAACTGGTAGGTATGTAATATGTATAAATGTTGTAGGTGTAGGCAGCATGGACGTTGGTACGCTCGTGTTCATACATGCGACTCAGCTGGGTTGTATATTGTTGTCGCTGACTGGACGTACAATTTTGTAGGCTTATCAACTAAGATTTCGCACGTGCGTGGCTCTACCATTGTCCTTTGCGAAGCAACGATAACTTTCGGAGGGAGGATTCAAAGAACAATAGATGGAATAGCCATCGTCACGATTAAATAGTTACATTGGTGCATGGGTACACACACCCTTGCATAGAGCATCATATTTAAGATGAAAACAAAAAAAAGTGCAGAGTGTCAGTTAAGCTGAACCGCACCGAGTGTATGTATATGTTATACGTGACAGCTTCCTCTTCCGTTTCCACAGATACATATATGTCTGCCTGTTGTACAAGTATATGTAACGTGAATGTCATGCGCGCATGTGTCCTACGCGCCCACGCTGAAATCGACGGAACGCAAATTATTCGCGTGTGTGCGCGCTCGTCGTCCCAACGACAACACCATATAGAAAAATGAGAGAAGCAAGACCCCCCATTTTTTTATTGCACATCCATATCCATTGGGAGTTATCGAGAAACGAAGCTCAGGTGTATAATGCATCGGAACATGTGTGTTCGGTACGCCCCCACTGGGGCACGCGGGACATACACATGCCACGCGCGAGCCCTGTTCGGCTCACGAACTCATCTTTCATTGTATACGTTGCCGCTCGTGGTAGTTGCGCCGCACACGCATCGACTTCGCCGCCCAACTGTCCTGTAACATATACACATGTATGCACGTTGAGTGCGTATATTCACGTGTTATAGGGGAAGAAGGAGGGCACCATGGTGGGGATGACTCGCGAATTTTCGCGCAGTCGCCGCTGCAGCCACGCCGGGCGCATGTTGCACGCCGGGGGTGGAAAGCACGCCACGTTCTTCGATCCCCCTCCCTTCTCTTTGGTGTGTGTGTGTGTGTGTGCGTGTGTGTGTAAACGTACACGCCTATACTTTGACGGCAGCGGCGTGTCCAGAGGGTAGCCCGTGAACCCGATGAAGTTGCACAGGCGTATCTGATGATTGTGTCAACTTTCCGATGAGAAAGCGTGTGAGTGCGGTGTGGCTACTTCTTCGAGTACTTGATTCATTTTATCGTGTAAAAATCCAGAGACGCGTTGATGACGACAGTGTGTCATAACGCGCGATACCTCTCTTTTCTTGTTTCCCCGATAAGATCGCTCGAGCACGTGTTATGCAAAATTTTCGCAATCGCGATAACGATTGCGATGCCCCATTGATATACGTCAAGGATGCGGGTATTTTAAAAGTAAAACAAGTGACTGTGCTTTTTTGCACACAAGCCGTATATTATGCACTTGGGCGTAATGACAATAAATTTTTAATTACCGCATTGATTTGACGACGCGTGCATACGTATATATACGAACCGCAGGAAAAAAAATTCTTTCGTTGTTCTGACTGTATTTTTCGTTAGCACTGAACTTTCGTTTCATTCATTGTACGTATCATACATTCCATGTACACTTTTTGTCAAACCTCACAACCTCGTACATACATATTTTTTTTTTATATTATAGTGCTCTACGTCCGGCTCCTTTAATAAGGGCACTACTATGGGCACTTAGCACTTGGGAGAAGGGAGGGATGAGGGATGGGAGGCCTCCCATTACTGGGAGGGGGTAGGGGGAAATTAGGCAATTTTTGCTGCGAGAAGGTCGCCTAAACCCTCCTCGAGGAGCATTGCGTGGTGAAAAAGCACATACGAAAAATCACAGAGGTACTTGCCCGAAAAGTCGCACTGGCCGGGAATCGAACCACGGTCTCCCGCGTGCCAATCCACGACTTAGCCGACTGAGCCACCGCGTGCTCTCGTACATACATATAAATTATGTGTTAAGTTATTGCTTATAGTCACGTACGAACGTGAACAGGGTATGAAACAATTTCACGTTAAAATAATTAAAAGAATTTTTATCAATTTTATTGCAAAGATGCGTTATAAAGACTCTTTCATTATATTTATATCATTTTTTTTTTGGTTTGGTGTAATGTTTAAGGATAAAAATCGCTAAAGTATGTCCAAAAGTAGGAGCTCAATTAATTAGCAACAATTTAATTTTGACGTATATGACGTATTTTAGAATATTCTTTAAAATCAATTCTACAGAAGGATTTAAGAGTGGCTGTACTAAAAGAAAACACAAAAATTATAAAGCTTCTGTTTTTAATTTAGTAAAATTTATTGAAATTTTTACATATCTCTCTACTTGATCAAGAAAAACCGTTTGAGGAAAAAAAAATTGAAATATTTCCGACTAAAGTGACAAATTATAGTTTTTATTTTTATTTTTTCATATATATACATATCTCGTTTAAAAGACTTAGATCTTAAGTTTCCAAAATAAACTTCGTGTTGGTGGAAACAATCGTTGCTCCACCTAAGTATAATTACAATGAGCTCGCACTCTTGATTTTCAATTTCGGCTGATGATTAGAGAGGCCCCCAAAAATCGAGTCAATCGACCAAGTGGAAAGGTCCAGGTGCCGTAAACGTAAGTATGCTGGAACGTGCGTTAAGTATTTCCGTACATCTTTGGTGAAACAATAGCTGTTTAAGTTTAGCTCGACCAAAAAAAAACTTTTTGAATGTAGAATTCATGAAACCAGTGGAGAGTGGGTGCTTGGGTACGCAAGTATGAAGTTATACTTCTATAAAATTATATGGTAAACGATGTAATTTTGAGTACAAAAATACCTTCTATGAAACAATACAGTGTACAAAGGTGGTGGAATTATCGTGGAAATGAGTATGCTTACGTTGATTAAGTGTGATTTTAATTAATGTTTAATGTTAACGATTATAAACAATACAATAAAAATAATACATTGGCTGGCCAGTCCAAGACTGTGCACTTTCATCGAATTTTCCGGTGATTTTAGAACAATATTTTACTGCCTGCGCTGATTACATCTGTAACGTCACGATCGCATCCATCACGTACGATCCCACACTTATTTTTCGTCTATATTTAATACTTAAAATATTATTCGATAGAGAAAATTAAAATAAAGCATACATATAAAAAATGGATATTTAACACGTAACCATATGAACAAAGTACATCAAATGGCATTTACACGATTTGTAGGTATCTCCTAATTTTTTGGTACAATAGATTACTTTTAGAAAAACCTATCGAATTTTCAAGTAGACCCATAAGTTAAATTTTAATAAATTTAGAAAGAGGGATGAGTTGTGCGTGAAAGCATGTATATTTATGAGTACATCCACATAAGAAAAAGAATTGCTAGCTTTACTGTACACATTAGCGTTCCTGTCATTTCTCTGAACTTTCCCCCACAAATTATTTTCTGGAGAACGTCCTTTAATTAAAAAATTCCCTTTAGTCACGAATGAACAAATTTTAAAAGAACAAAATACAATAAAAATTAATTATTTTACTTTTACAGTACAAAAAAAATTTTTTTAGAATAAATATTTATTAATGAATTGGAAGGATGTTCTGCTAAAATATAACTGTCAAGTTTTTTTTTTAAACATTAAAATTTTAAAACATTATTTTATTAGTTAAATTGTTTATTTACTTAATTTATAACCAAATCAAATAAATTAATGTACATGAAATAATAATTTCTATGAAAAATAAGTTACAAACTGTAACACAAAATGAAGTAATTGATTTCCCCTATTGGGCGAAGAAGGAGAATTAAACAAAATCCACTTCCGTCACACTTTTTTTCAAGGTAAAAATCTGACATCGTTGGTTTACCCCAGCGCATAACGCGCCTATAGAAAAGTATAACTTCAAAAATGATGAAACGACGAGTCACAAAAGAAAACGTGTGAATCGAGGAGTAAAATGAGCCAACACAATTGAAATTACAAAAAAAATAAAATAGTGATTTCATGTTATGTTAGAAGGTGGATGAATTAAGAAGAATAATTAATACACGGATAAACAAAACAAAAAAAAGGTTTATGGCTGCGTTTACATGCAATAGCCCAATGTAAGTGTGCTTTATTAGTGCTAGAATTGAAAACTGAGGTATAATGAAAGGATAAACATTGAGGTATATACCTAGGACCTCGGCTATACTAGAGTAGCCTCGGCTCTCCCTACAACACCCTCCTAATCCTTACACCCTAGAATACACCATATGTATACTAACTATGCTCCAAGAGCTATGCAGAATTTCCCATTTGACGACAAGCCCATGGTAAGTCGTTATTGGGTTATTACTCGTGGAATGCACACATAAGAGTACTCTAGCTCTTCTTTTACATCTCTAAAAGTTTGTTAACACTCTTGTTTTATTTCAAACCTGGAAAGCTGATTTTTACTCAACTGATTTGTTTTTTTGTTTCGGAAAATTGATTCCAAAATACATACTAACATTGTGGTTAACATCTAATTGACAACCATAACCTCAAAAAAATTTTTCAGATGACGATCGACATTAGGCCAAACAACACTATTTACATCAATAATCTCAATGAAAAAATTAAAAAGGAGGAGTTAAAAAAGTCCTTGTATGCCATATTTTCACAATTTGGGCAAATCTTGGATATTGTTGCTTTAAAAAGTTTGAAGATGCGAGGACAGGCTTTTGTGATATTTAAGGAAATCAGCAGTGCTACAAATGCTCTGAGAGCTATGCAAGGATTCCCATTTTATGACAAGCCTATGGTAAGTCATTTTTTTCATTTACATTCTAGTATAAAACAACAATTGGTCGTAATTCAATTTTTACTTTCAGCGAATAAATTATGCCAAAACGGACAGTGACATCATTGCCAAACTAAAGGGCACATTTTCGGAGAGGCCCAAAAAACCCAAGAGAGTGGTGCCAGCAGCTGATGAAGAGGCAAAGAGAGCCAAGAAGAGGGCCAAAGAACAGGCCAAACAACAGCAAATGGGCTATGCTCCAGGAGCCCTACCTCAAATGGGCATGACAAATGCAGCTGTGCCGGAGCAACCTCCAAACCAAATTCTATTCCTCACCAACCTACCGGACGAAACCAGCGAAATGATGCTGTCGATACTGTTCAACCAATTCCCTGGTTTCAAGGAAGTGCGATTGGTTCCAAATAGGCACGACATCGCATTTGTGGAATTCGAAAACGAGGTGCAATCTGGAGCAGCCAAAGATGCTCTTCAAGGGTTTAAGATAACGCCGTCTCACGCAATGAAGATATCATTCGCCAAGAAGTAAATGTATCATGTAACTTAGCTTTTAAAAATAATATATAAGATTAATTTTAATGAGACTAAACTACACGAAAAAAAATGGCAAGTCTCCATTATGTCGCTTATAATATTCCGCCTTGTACAAATTTTTGCAATTAAATGTTTTAATCACAAATGAGTGAGCTTATAATACTATGTTTTTAATGATTAGCGATACGTATAAGTCAGATAAAAAAGGTAAACAAGTAGGTATTCATTCATTGAAACAGTTGCATTCAACAACTGATGTGAGATGAAATAAGAATTAGCTTCCCTGGTTTCAAGGAAGTGCGCTTGGTTCCAAATAGGCACGACATCGCATTTGTGGAATTTGAAAACGAGGTACAATCTGGAGCAGCCAAAGATGCTCTTCAAGGGTTCAAGATAAAATTTGTTAAAAAAGCAAGAAATCTGCTAGATGCAACATGAAATATAACGAAAAAAGAAATTACAAACATTGGCGAGTAAATAGTTTCAAAAAATTTTGGTCCTTATTATAAATTTTTTTTACTGCTATCTTATGTTGTAGAAAATCAAAAAATTTCCTGACATAAAAATCAGTTTTGGCCATTCCAGCGCCTCTGACGTGAAATCGCCCAGGACTTCTAAACTGAACTGCGCTTCTAGACCTTGGCCTTATTGGCCTAAATTGTGTAAGATTCGTATATAAGCCAGCCAATCGCGTAAGATTTCCGGGACGAAAAAATTTTTTCCCCAGTATTTTCCATGACGCACGTATATAAATTTCGCACGCGTTGTATACATTAGGTATACATATACAATACGCTCGAGAAGCAGTGACAAAAGAGAGAGATGAAGGAGAGCGAATCTAGAGCGAACGAAGGAGTAACAACACATGAACGTAAAGTTGTGAGAGTGAACATGCAGAAGCAGCATGCGTGTGTGGGTGGGCACAGAGAGACGCAAGGTGAGAATAGGAAAGGCCCAGTCGCTGACGCCTAATAATATGTATAGGTTCGCAGGTACAGGCGCCACCAACGAGAGGATATCTTCATGCAGCGGAGAAGCTGCAAACTGGCCGATGTCGAGTCCGTGTTGTTGCACCAAAAGTTCATGCGCACGCGGCGAGTCATTGACCGGTAGGTGCACTCGGCTTTTGTTGATATTGTGTCTCCGTGTATCCGTTTATATACACCGCGTATATTTCGAATGGCCAAAATGTATGGGTATATCCAGGTATTTGCTGTACGGATACGTAATTACGTATATAGCAGCATGCATGAGACGTCGACATTGCGAATAAAAACTTCTTTGATAAATTAAAATTTTACCGAGACTATTCCTGAAATTAAATAAGAAAAATTAGGTATTAAACTAAATGGAAGAAAATTTGTATCAACTTATTTTAATGATTGACTGTACAACAAAAATATTTTAATGATGACTGTGAATGAAACATGATGACTTTTTTTCTTTTCTTTTTTTGTAACACATCGAGATCACATCGTTGGCGTTGTACATGGTTAATAGCTGATCCTCCATGGGGGGAAAATTCGTCACGCAACAGCCCACGAAACCTATCCTTGTTCTTTTAGCGAATATTTTCTATATCTGTGTGCGAGAACGTCCAGTTTGACCATTATCTCCCTAAACTTGTAGTATGTATACGATGTATCCAAGCGAGAAAATCTTTTCTCAATCCCTCCCCTCTTGCTTTTCCACTTTTCAGATGTTCGAAACGCGCGTACAACTATACCTTTTTTTCCCCCAAAGCCACGGGATTTGCATTAATAATCTTGCGCAACCATCTTATCTGCCATTTAAATTTTATTACCGAAACATCCGTGCAGGGGTCAAAAAAAAAAAAAAAAAAAAAAAAAAAAAAAAAAAAAAAAAAAAAAAAAAAAAA